TTCTAATTAAGAACATAATGTTTATGCTTAGTTTGACATAGTTTTTCATAGTATTACTACATAGTTTGACATAGTTATTCGTAGTAATACCAATTTGTTTAAAATAATTTTTTAAAGTATTACTCCTTAGTTTGACATAGTTATTCATAATAATACCAATATGAATCAAAACACAAGCAATTTAGTTTAAAATAGTTTTACCAGTATACAAATCCTAACACATAAGCAAGTTTCTAATGTAAGTTTATGAATAGTTTTATTGTTATTCTTTTTGAATTTCTGAGTTTATGAATTGTTTTATTGTTATTTTTTTGAATTTCTGGGTTTATGAATTAGTATTATTGTTAGAGTCTTCGAATTTCTGGGTTGTAATCATTCGGATTGTGCAAAATGATGGCTTACACCATGATTTACTGATCAAACAAATGCGTGAAGAACTGAAGACCAATTCTGAGGAGATTGCAAATCTGAAGGAGATTTTGGCAAGTATTGGCAAGATTTTTGCTTATGGAAAACCAAATGTTTAGCTAATCTTTGTTAATGAGTCTTTGTTAAACCTATGAATTTGTTTAACTAGAATGGTTTATGTTTTTGTCTTCTAATGTAAGCCCCCACAATTTCAATCAATGTTTTCCATTTATTTCTAATTAAGAACATAATGTTTATGCTTAGTTTGACATAGTTTTTCATAGTATTACTACGCTGTTTGACATAGTTATTCATAGTGATATCAATTTGTTTGACATAGTTTTTTATAGTATTACTGCTTAGTTTGACATAGTTTTTTATAGTAATACCAATACAAATCAAAACACAAGCAATTTAGTTTAAAGTAGTTTTATCAGTTTTTCAGAGTATTACTACGTAGTTTTACATAGTTATTCATAGTAATATCAATTTGTTTGCATAATTTTTTATTGTATTATTGCTTAGTTTGACATAGTTATTCATAGTAATACCAATTCAAATAAAAACACAAGCAATTTAGTTTAAAGTAGTTTTACCAGTTATACAAATCTTAACACAAAAGCAAGTTTCTAATGTAAGTTTATGAATAGTTTTATTGTTATTCTTTTTGAATTTCTGAGTTTATGAATTGTTTTATTGTTATTCTTTTTGAAATTCTGGGGATATGAATTAGGTTTATCATGGTGTAAACATTTGGTTTTCCATAACTGATATAGTTTTTCAGAGTATTACTACGTAGTTTTACATAGTTATTTATAGTAATACCAATTTGTTTGACATAATTTATTATTGTATTACTGCTTAGTTTGACATAGTTATTCATAGTAATACCAATACAAATCAAAACACAAGCAATTTAGTTTAAAGTAGTTTTACCAGTAATACAAATCTTAACACAAAAGCAAGTTTCTAATGTAAGTTTTTTATTA